CCATCAAATCTGCTAAGCTGTAGTTTGATTTGCCACTTCTCGTTTCCATTTTTGTTTCTTTTTCTTCCCACTCTCTGACACCAGTTTGTTATGTCTCTGTTCTCGTTTGTTAATTTTCTGAGAAACTTCAGCCGATACAAGTCCTTTCTTAAATAAAACTAGTTTATTCTTTCTCAATTCAACTTTGCAATACACTTAATTTCCACAGTCACTTTAACTTAAACACACGCTATAATTCACGCACTTTACTTACGGTGCATACTGTCCGCTTGACTCGATTATCCGTGTCTATATCTTCTATCTCTCTATCTGCAACTATTATCTCTTGCCACTTCTTGCCTGTCTTATATATACAAAATAGAGGGCGTCTGGCAAACACTCGAGCCTTCAAGAACCTTCTAGATACTCATTACGTGTTACCAGCGTCACGTGAATTCCGCTGTCGTAACAAAACTTTATCCTTTGTCATAGCTTATTGAAGTTACGAAGAGTTTTAACAACACTCATCAACTTCTCTCTTCGTCGTTGGTAACTTCGTGAAGTTATCGTTATATTATTTCACCTTACAAAGTATAATTTGTAAAATCTAAAATATAAAGGGTTTTCTTCAGCCATACCTCCTGGATATCGTAATACAACTAAAATGTTGTAAATTTTCACTCACAAATAGTTTTTTTTTTTTTTACTTTATGAAAGGTTCTCATCATTGGTATTGTAATACAAGTATAACATTGGGGAATTTTGACAATGAAATATTTTAAGTTAGAGAAGAGAAAACGACATTTACTCCTCGGATGATAATAAAATAATTTTTTATTTCAGTCAAATTTTCTCTAAAACAGTGAGTAATGAACACCGTTTTCTGAAAACCATTCTGATAATCAAGTTAGAAGGGGCAAGTCTGTAGGCTTATAACGTTAAAAACCAGATTTCGATACCTGTGTTGGGCACGGTACAGATAGCCTATTGTGTAGTTTGGTGTTAAACAAAACAAACAAACCATTGATTTCACCAAACAACTATCTGCCATTCATTTCTGTCTTTCTCATCGAGCCCTCTTTTGAACTCCCCCAATCCTGTTGCGTCTACCACTTCTGAAGACAATGTTTCCAAAAGCTGGTCACCCATTTCAAAAAATATAATTGCCTAATTTGCAGAAGAATTCAATCCTCACAAATATTAAAGCTATATCATCTAGTCCTACTACACTTAGCATTAAACACGGAAAACAATCATCAATCCTGTTGTCTTTATAATTTTGAACAATTCAGTTAGATTTTCTTTAACTTTTCTTTTCATAAGAGTTATTCTAATTAGAAACTATATTTTCTGATTCGTCAATATTTTTAGTGTATTCGCAACGACACTACTTTTCGAAGTTTTGGGGACGAGGATATCAACGCTGACCATATATTCGAAACATTGAAGGTTTATTTTTACTTTTTAATCCAGTTAGTGTCGTTTATAGTATACGTAATGCTTTCGTGCTGTACAGTACGAAATTCAAAATTAAATTGAGAGATCAGCTTAAACTAGTTTATTAAGTGCAATGAAAAAGACAGTTATATTAAAAAAATGCCATCAGAAGGAAGCAAACCGTATGTTAAGATTGCCCTTGATTTTATGCTTTTAGCAATTGGTAAGAATTAAATCTAAATAGTGTGAATATAACTATCGTCTAAAAAATATCAGAATTAAGCAACTTTAAACTGTGGCCCATTTTGGTCAGTATGCTAACTCATAGGAACACTAATATTAATAATATCAACAGTATCAAGTTATCACATTCATAGCTTAGTTTTAGCACAGGCCAAATTATGTAGGTAACACTAACCAGAAAGTCTCAGTCTTACTCTTAGTTTTAGGTCAAATTAGTCTTTGAAAACTAGAATCAAATTTTGAGGTTTTAAGTTATAAACTTTTATAGTTGGGATATTCATCTACTTTATAAGTTAGAGTTGAACATAGAGTTAGATTAAGTTACATTGTACAGGTAAGTAGGCGAATATCAAATGATAATTAACTTTAAACTTAAAGTGAAACCTTTAGTTTATGTCTTTGGCTTTGTAAATCTAACACGAACATTTCACTTTATACCTAATTTAATGCAATATCTTAAACTAGATAGGGTGAAGACAATGTAGTGATAAAAAATAATATGTTCTTAAACGTTAGGCTTAACAGTAACAGTGTAAGGGAAGTTTTAAACTAGGATTAGACAGTGGTGAGGACCAGAAAAACTAAATGCAAAAAGAATAAGAGGCAGAGAAAAGTTTAGCATAGGAAATGAGTATAGAAGTAGTTATAAGGATAGGCTTAATTGTTACTAGTGTAATGCTAGAAGTATAAGAAATAAAATGGATGACTTTAGAGCACTGGTAGGAATGGAGGATTTGATATAATGGGAATAACTGAAACATGGTTAAACGTAGATGATTATCATGACAGAAACTTCCTTGAAATACAGGGTTACAGGTTATTTAATAGGGATAGAGTATTAATGAGATGGAGATGAGTGGCTTTATATGTAAAATGTGATATTCATCCTATTGAAGTTTAGGATACTAAAGATAATAGCAAGGAGATTGAATCCATTTGTGTTTCTGTTAGTGGATATAAAGGGAAAAGGCTTTTAGTGGGAATTTGTTACAGACCACCAAATGATACTGATGAAATTAGTGAGAAACTTTACAATGAGATTAAGAATTCAACTGTTAAAGTGATGAAGTCATAATTATGGGTGATTTTAATTTCAGGCATATAGATTGGGAAATTCTAGAATCAAACGATGAGGGAGAAAGGTTTTTGGAAACTGTTCAGGATGGCTTTCTTCACCAGTTAATCAAGGAACTAACTAGAAACAATGCTATTTTAGAATTATTGTTAACTTCAAATACAGAAGTGATCGAGAGGGTGGAAATTGGAGAATATCTGGGTGCAAGTGATCATTGCTCTATTAGGTTCAATGTTTTGCTGCATATGAAGATAAGGAATAATGATATTGTGGTTAAAAATGTCAAAAAAGGTAATTTTGAATGGATGCAACAAGAATAACCTGTTGTGAATTGGGCAGCTGAATTATTTGGCGACATGATCAGATGTGGAAAATGTTTAAGATGAATTTTTAAATATTCAAGGTAAATGTATTCCTTATAGAAAGAAAAGGGTAGCTGTAAGTAAAAAAAACCAGGTTGGTTCACAAAGAGTTTGAGATAAAATTAAAGAAAAGCATAATAAATTTAAGAAATTTAAATTGACTGGTATGACAGGAGACTTAGAAGAATATAGAAGATCAAGAATGTTGGTGAAACAGGAAACTAGGACATTAGAAAGGATGTATGAGAAAAAGTTGGCTGAAAATGTAAAAATTAACAGTAAGGATTTCTTTAAATCCATTGAGGGTAAACAAATATTAGGATGGGGATAGGATCCTTGAGGGATGATAAAGGAAGGCTAGTATCTGATGATTATGAGATGGCTGGGTTATTAAATTGTGCTTTTTTCAGTTTTTACTAATGAAGATTTAAGTAGTATTCCACATCTTGAACAGTTGATAAATGGAACCAACAGTTGA